AAGGCCCCCTTTAACTTTGTTGGGGGCCCTTGGGCATTAAATGGTTTTTGGGTTCTTGTTCATAAATGGAGTCTGGTGGCTTTTTGCAAAGGGTCACCATGGTCTGGGTATCTAGCCTGCATTTGTTCAGCCATTCTGGGTGGTCTCTTAGGAAAAAGAAAAGTTGAACACATGGGACTTCAATCCACTTTCCCTCCTTTCTACAGAACATATCTAATTGAAGAATGGTATTATAATTAGTGCTCCTCCTTCTGGCCACTTTTCCTGGTCTTCCAGAGGATATTGTGGCCAGGCCTGGGTGCAGTAAAACTTGAGTCACTTCTTTTGAAGACCTTCTGGATCAAGATCTTTCCAATGTTTTAGTAAGCTGGCAAGGGGGGGATCCTTCCAGGATCCTGGAAGCTTGATTCCCCATCTAAAAAGGGAAGCAAGGAAAAATTGATCACCTTAAGAGGAGTTTTATCCTTTTACCCAGGCATCCCCAGGTGAGGAGATCCTCTACATGGGAGAGGGCAGCCCTCTCTCCCAAGCTCTCCTGCCACTGCCACCTGTGGCTAAGGCCATGGGGAAGACATTTAGGTACATCTGGCTGCAGTCACCTGGCTGGCATAACCCTGATCAATTTTTTGCCTGTTTATCTTGTTTGCCTTGTGACCCAGGTACTTGGTTCTCCTCTACCAGCTGAAGGCTGGTAATTTAAAAACAACTCTATCAGTGAGGGGCTCTAAAGAAACCGAGAGGGCTTTCATGGCCAAAGGGAGGACCCTTGTGGAGGATGGGAACTTTGGATGAGGCAGACTCCTGTCTCCCTCTATGCTCCGTGAGACTCTAAGAAAAGAGAGGGAGCAGCTGCAGGCATTGTTCTTTTGCTGGTGATAATGGACAAAAATGGAGAAGACCATGTGGTCTCTTATCTCCTTAGTTAGCTCTCAGGTAAAGCACTCTTTCCTAACCTGAAGGCAGACTATGGGAACCTGCTTAACCAGATCATCTGGATGCCTAACAAAAACAGTTAAGCCCAAGTTAGAGAGTAGTTCTTTTTGGTGTACTCAGTTGAAATGGGGGATATAGAAGGGACATGGGAGCTCCTGAGGACATAGTTTAAGGGTAAAGTTTTGAAAAGGGATGTAGGGATCTATCCCAGACTCACCTGAAGAAAGAAGTCCACTGCTATCTAGGACAAAGGGTGTGGTCACTCATCCTGATCTACTTGGGAAAGAAGAAGAAGGAGAAGCTGAAGATTGGGGAAAAGAGTGTTCCCAGGCTCAACGCATGAGGGATTATTAGCCACTGCTGCTCTCCATGTTGATCCCACCAGAGGCAGTACTGGAGCACTGGAAGTGAGGGGCTTGGGCCATGGGAACTGTGAAGAAAGTATAGAGATCTGATTGTCTGTGTGGCACAGAAATAGCCGGAGGGTTTCTGATACTTAGCCACCTTTGGAGCTTCAGGGCAGGCCAGGAAGTTACATCTTCAGGTCCCACCATGGAGTTGCCCCAGTCAGAGCACCCTTGCAGCTTGAAGGGAAACTTTCCTTCCCACTGGCCATTTTTGGACCCTCTCCTTAGTGAGTCAGATCTGAAATGAAGAGGGCTTAAGGGGGAAGGGAGCTGAGAGTTGAGAGGAAAAAAAGCCTCAGTGCACTGAGATTTTAGCTTTGCCCACGTAGCATTGGCAGTCTGGTATAAGCCCCTGGCAAGCTCCCAGCCAGAACCCGATTTCTCAGGTTGCCTGCCTTAACAGCTGTAGTAGGCTTGGAGCTTTTTCCCCGGGTTCCTGAGGGAGAAACCCCCCTTAGTGTGTGTGTGTGTGTGTGAGAGAGAGAGAGAGAGAGAGAGAGAGAGAGACAGACAGACAGAGAGAAAGGAAAAGAAGAATAAGTCAGCTTGAGAGTTCCACCATAGCTAAGCTGTGATGGTGGGGCTCCCCTGGAGGATGAACTCCATCAGAGTGCTGGATGATCACGGCTACTTCCTAAGCAGTCATCTGCAGTTTGGCATAACCTGTAATGACCTCAGGTGAAGAAGTGTCACCACTTGGTGGCGAGGGTCCATTGTTCCGCTTGGATAGAAATCGGAGGCAGACTCGAGCAGCAAATGTCAGAAAAGTTCTATTTGCAGAGAAGAGAAAGAAAAGGCTGAATGGGGTCATGTAGAGGGACGTAAAAACTGGTAGTCCCCTAGGTCAGGTTTTGAAGCTTTTTAATTGCCAGAGGGTGGAGATTTTGGAGTGAATGGATGTCTCCCTGGGGGGAACAGATGTTTCTTGGGAAGGAGAAGGGGCATTTTTCCCCCTGGCTAATTGCCATCTTTTGGGAACACGTGGAACTCCCACAGTCCTTCCTTCAATTTGGAATGGAGTCTCTGGTATGATCTCTCCAGTCTCACTTTTACCTCTATGACTGTTGTCACTGGCTGTCCTTCATAGCTTTCATTCCTCTACCTGCTCCCTAAATGCTGGCATACCTGTTCTTTTTATTTTTTTAAAACAATCCCACTTCTTTTGTTAAATGTTATGTGCATGTACCTCACTCACTTTCATTCCCTTTAATATTTTTTTCTTCACCAAAGCTTACCAACTCCTTACTTTCTGCTGCAGATAACCGGGATGATAACTAAATCCCAAATGGGAAACTGGTTTGTGGTGAGAAATCCCAGGCCCCTCACAGTGGAGGACATAGGGACCCAGGCCTCAGTCCTTCCAGTGCACCTGTTATGTCCCATTTCTCATTTCATGTTCCCATCTATGTCCTACTTTTCTCCTTTCCCCCATCAGAGAAATGTAAGGAATGGCTTGATGGGCCCAGAGTACCCTGTTTCAGTCCCTTCTGTCACGCTACCAAAATTTCTTATTGAACTAGTTACTCTCCTCCAAACTGGTTCAAGGCGTGGGCTTCACAGGATGGTGGGAGATGGTCACAGATGTGTTAAAGTGAGCTCTTCTCGCTTCACAGACAGACTGGTTAGGGGGCAGGAGACCCTTGACTCATCAGAGCCAGCAGCTTTCATATTTTAACTACGAACTTCAGTTTGATGTGTTTCTAATCTATAATGTAACCTCTGGTTTGAGATGCCTATATTCATTAGTTCATTTATTGATCAAATATTTAGTGTGTACCCGTCATATGTTGGGCACTATTCTAGTTGCCAGACATATATTGTTGAACAAAACAGACAATATTCCTGTTCTTATAGAGTTTACACTCTAGCACAGAAGAAGGAACCAAAACCAAAAAATACAAGAGAATTACATGCAGTTGTGAGTGTTCTGAAGGAATAAGATGGGGTGATGTCCTAGTAACTTTTGCTAGGGAGGTCAGTGACAGTTCTTTTGTTGAGAATGAGCAAAAGGAATTAGCTATAGTAAGATGTGAGGAAAGAGCATCTCAGGCAGAGGAAACGGCCAGGACAAAGACTCTGAGGCAGGAATGTGCTTCTGGTGTTTAAGGAACAGAACAAAGGGCAACATGGTTAGAAAAGAGGCAAAGGCAATGACACGGATATGAGCAGGGTGTGCAGGCCTACATAGGCCACAGAAAGATGTTTAAATTTTGGGCTGAGTGCAATAGGAATTCATTGGAGGATATTAGGAAGGACAATGATTTACTCATGTATGTGGGGTGTGTGTGTGTGTGCATATGCGTGTGTGTTCAGGGGAGGAAGAAGTCCTGATTTGTGATGTTGGTCAATTTCTGTGGTGCTATCAAGCTACCAAGTGTCATCACTAAATGAGGAGTTGGGAAGAGACGTGCAGATAAGTCTCTCAGGAGACGGTAAGTGCAGATTCAGCACATCCCTATGTGGAATTCCCATACATTTATTAAGATTCACTCTTTTGGGTATATAGGTTTGTGACAAATATATATACTGTGTAAGGATTTACATTGGAAGCATCTAATGAGGGAGGATTGGATGATAGGTAGAGAAAGAAGGATATAGATTGCTTCAGCATTTAGACAAGTATAAGATTTCTTTTTTTCTAAGTGGAATTTTCTCTGAGATTGTAATGTTTTTCTTTCATATAATCTGGCATTTTGGTTATAGTGGCCTCTGGCTAAGACTGTATCAAAAGACCACAAAAGTAATTCAGGGATAATTACAGTACTCTTAAGGGATGTCATCATTTTTACTGCTTAATATTTTCACATAGAACTTAAACCCAAAATTTCTCAAATGGATTATAATATACATAATTCATCCACACAGGGCTAAGGCTCAACATAAATCTAGGGCCAACATTTGATTTGAGGAAGTTACATTTTCAGTTCATCTAATTTATTTTGCTTTATTAGGGATGAATAAACTGGTTAAGAGAGCTATAAACCCCAGCTATAACATAACCTTGTGAGACAAGTGAGGACTTCATTGGTATAACTTCGATTCTACACCAGAACTTTTCTTTTCTTTCTGTCATTCATTCAGTCTTTTTTTCTTTGTGGCACTGGGGTTTGAACTCAGGGCCTCACACTTGCTAGCAGGTACTCTTGCCACTGAGCCACTCCACCAGCCCTACACCAGAACTTTTGTTTTAATCTTTTACATTTCGAATATTATTTGAATATATATTCATAAGGGGAAGGTACCTGAATATTAAATTATTAAAAATATTGAGTATTACAAAGAGTTAGCACTTATTGAGTGTTTATCCCATAAGTGCACTTTATAATAATTTATTTAACTTTTACAACAATCATTTGAAACAAGTCCTTTTGTTATTCCAATTTGGGGATAAATAACCTGAAATGCACACATTTTAGCTATTATGAAGGGAACAGGCTTCTTATTATATCAAAGTATGGCATATTAAGGTTGTAAGTGAAAATGTTTTTATTCCTTCTGATTTTGTCTGATTTTCAAAGATCTGGAAAGCCTCATGAAAATCTAGGGGGAAATCTGTTAAACATTTAACAAAACTTTCATATAAATAAAAAGCCATTAGGTGTTCATATATCTGTATCACAGACATAGAACTTTTAAACATCATCTAATATCACTAGTGAGAACTTGCTCAAGGAAGGTTTATTGAATACAAGGAGTGATAACAGATTGCTATAGGGTAATCAAATGAGTCATCATATTTGTGTGTGACACTCTTCCAGATGAATGGGGAGATCAGCTGTGGATTGCCCAGAAATAGAAAGGAACAGGAAGAAAACAGAATAGGCTTTCTTAGACTTGCTTGTTTTCCCAGGCACAAATAATGCCTTTTCTTCTCTGAGGGTTTTTGGCTTATGTTCTCTGTTAATTACTTTGAGATTTCTCTTCCAGGGAGTGGAGCCTAGTGGTAAGTATTTTGCTTCGTTGGTCTACCTCCTCAAGGACTTTCTTAACCACTATGGGTTTGGATGAATCTGAAAATTAAAATTTAAAAGGAGATTTTAGAGAGTTAAAAAGAAGTAAATAAAAAAATTATACCTATTGAAGGAATAATAGAATTTTGATATAAGACCAACTATGTAGAACACACACATATTTATTATATCTGGTTTTACTAAGTCCTGGTAATATAAAAATCAGCTTTGCACTGGAAATGAGGTAGCATAACATAACAACAGGATTTCATTTTAGTTACCTTTGATTTGACTTCCCACGTTTCCAGATCCATAATCTTTAGACTTGTAACCTACAGATTTACAAGCCCTGTGAAAACATCACAAAAGATAGTGCTTTAGAGAAACTGTAACAAGAAAAAAAGTAGACAGTCATTGCTAGGATCTGCAGAAATAAAACACAGTAGAAAATCAAATGAAAATATATATTATGAAATATAAAAAATAATTTAAATGCTTATTACAGCATCATTCAAAAGCAATATACTAAGACATTGGATGTAGGCTTCACTTTTCAAGTCTGTACAAATTAAATACATACATGATTCTTCCTTATGAGTATTTATCTGTTTTTAACTTCATTTAGACTAGTAAGAGTCAACATGTCACAACATTTGGAAAAACATTTTCTCTGTGTATTCTAATTTCATGTGATATCTTAGACTTTCTCTAATGAGGGAGGATTGGACAAAAGGTAGAGAAAGAGGGATGTGGATTGCTTCAGCATTTACACAAGTATAAAATTTCTTTTTTTCTAAGTGGAATTTTCTCTGAGATTGTATTGCTTTCCTTTCATACAATCTGGCATTTTGGTTATTTGCCATTGTAACTCACAATTATTTCTTCATTCTTATACATCCTGTAGTTCTCATAATATCAACACAGTTTTACAGTTATCTAATTTTAAAAAATATATTGTTTTCAGAATTTTCATGTACATGAATATATTCTGTCCTATAAATTCAAGAACATGAATTGTGTCCTTGTATTCCCCTCCCCCTGAAAAAGAAAAGGATAGTGCTTTAGAGAGAACCACTTCAATGTTGGATCATCATTAGGTTCTTTTTAACTCTTTGGTGAGAACATATTCAGCAGGTAACACAGTTGAAATTGCTCTGCTTTGAGCATTGGAAGTGATACTTTTAGTGGGTGTGTTTGTTTAGTGGGTGAGTTCTGTAATCCCAGAACTCAGAAAGCTGAGGCAGGAGGATCTTATGTTCAAAACCAGCCTAGACTACAAAGGGAGACCTTGCTCAAACAACAACAATAACAAAAAGTGGTATTTTCAACCTTTATACATTAAACACAAGGCTTGTATTTGATTTTATCAAATATTGCTAATTCATATCTTGCTAAATGTTATACTTAACATTTAGCTTTCGTGATAATGAATGTAGCCACATTAGTTGCTATTCCCTTTCCAGGGATCTAAGTTTTAAGCAAGTTTCAGGACAATTGTCCTTCAGTATCAATGGGGGATTGGTTTCATGACCTCAGTGGATACAAAACGGCAAGAATGAACTGGATGTCTATGTCTCACACCTGCAATTCTGGCTACTAGGGAGGCTGAGATCAGGAAGATCCCAATTTGAGGCCAGCACTGGCCAAAGTTATGAGACTCCATCTCAACCAGTATCTGGGTGTGCACCTGTCATCCCAGTGACAGCAGGAAGCATAAAATAGGAGGACTGTAGTCCAGCAAAAAGCAACACCCTACCTCCAGCATAACCAGAGCAGAGAGGGCTAGAGGCATGGCTTAAGTGGTAGATCGCTTGCCTACCAAGGAAAGCCCTGAGTTCCCCTGTACCCCCTGCAATCCAATGTGAGTCTCTCATATTAAATGGCATGTTTGCATAGACTTTACACACATCTTATGTCTACTTTAATCTCTAGATTACTTTTAATACCTAATACCATGTAAATGCTGTATAAGTGGTTGTGATACTGTATTGTTTAGAGAATAATAAAAAGGAAGTCTGTACATGTTCAGCACAGATAAAATTGTAATTTTTTGAATATTTTCCTTCCAATTGGTGTTTGAACCCATAGAACCCATGGATACGAGGAGGATGGACTGCAATTGACATCTCCCATGTAAATTACTTTACCTACCCTTCATCTCCTCCGATGAGGAGGCAATAGGTCTCAATTTCCTTCTCCAGGTGGGCTTTGATGTCCAGCAGCTGCTCATGCTCCAGCTTCTGGCCCTCAGTCTCAGTCCTGACCTGGTGCAGCTGCTCCTCCAGGGCCCCGATCTGAGCCTGGATCTGCGCCAGCTGTGAGCAGTAGTTGCCCTCGGTCTCAGTCAAGGAGCACTCCAGGGACTGTTTCTGTCAGGGGAAAAAAAAAAACCAGGGAACCTGAGACAGATATTCAGATATGCAGAAATTTCTTTAATAAACGATTCCCTCCTCACTTTCACTTTACCTATAATTTAGATTTCACATCAACACATAGTTAATATGACTGTACAGCACTGCTTCCAGATGAGCAAATCTTTCTTTTTGATAGAATAGACCTAGAGACCTTGGTGTCGCAGTTTTAGTTGTTATATACACAATCCTTTAAGAAGATTTATCCTATTTCTTAGGATAAATATGAAAATATATGTGGCTATCCATCCTTCCATTACTCTCAGGAGCATTAGAACCAGTGGGTACCTATTTAAAACGCGCCTAGGAGATAGTAAGAAACTGGTTTTCATACCGTGGCTAAGAGAGACTGCAGTTCAATCTCCAGGGTTTGCAGCGTGCGCTTCATTTCCGTCAGCTCGTTCCTGGCTGAGGTTGTGGCTCCAACGTCCTCTGTGATCTGCTGCTGCAGCGAAGCGCTCTGAAACCAGTAAGCCAGGGAACAAATATTAGTTTTGTGGACATCACCAAAATGCATAGGATTGGTTTCCGGGAAAGCACTCACCTTCTCATTGAACCAGGCCTCGGCGTCCCTGCGGTTCTGCTCGGCCAGGGCTTCGTACTCAGCTCGCATGTTGTTCAGCAGAACCGTGAGGTCCACCCCGGGGGCCGCGTTCATCTCCACGTTCACGTTGCCTCCAGCCGCACACTGCAGAACTTGCATTTCCTGCAGGCAGAGAAGAGTTCAGCTCAGCCATGCAGGCATCTCGTTGGAAAGTTCAAAAGCTTAGCTTTGGAAGGGTTCTTAGAAGTCTGGTTTCCTCCTCCCAGGCTGTGCAGTGACCTCCTTCCTCCACATTTTATCCTTCCTGTCCATTCGATTTGGCCCTCAAGGATGGTGAACTCATTGTCTCCTGGAATAGCCTGCTTCATTCTGGATGAGTTTTGAGGATTTTTTTTTTTTTGACTATAGCTCAAGCTGACCTCGAACACACAATCCTCCTACCTCAGTCTCCCTAGTGCTGCGATTACAGAGATGTACCACCATGCATGGCTTAAGAGTTTTGTTTCAGTGCTGTTTATTATGGTGGGCCAAACTCCTGCTACTATAACTACAACTCATCAGTTTTAGCTCTGCTACCCAGAACAAGTCTTAGCTCCTTTCCCAAATGCAAGTCCTTAGAATACTTAGAATGAATGGTCCTTTATCTCTTATTCTATTTGTCTGTGCACCGTAGATATGCTCTTGTGTGGATGGGCTTTAATTTCACTAGAGACCAGCTTCAGCTTCCAGGTTCCAGGAGATCTCAGCTATGTCTCATCCTGAACACAGACAGGATGAATATGATAGGATTGAGTTTGAATCAAACAACCAACCAACCAGTGTGTGTGTGTGTGTGTGTGTGTGTGTGTGTGTGCGCGCGCCCCCCAGGGAAGAAATAATCCACCTGCCTGCCTGTTAAGCTTACACAGTGATATTACAGTGTTCTCTTGGGACTTTGGAGTGACATAAATCTCTATGTGCCTTCTTGTTTGTCCTGTAGTGTTGGTGTAAATTTGTGAATGTTGATTGACCTATTTAAGTTTTGATTTACTTATTGAAAAGTTGAAGCTAATTAAAAACCCTTCTCTAGGATTGGGGGCATGGCTCAAGTGATAGAGCACCTGCCTAGCAAACACAAGACTCTGAGTTCACACCCCAGTACCACCAACAATTCCACAAAACAAAAACCCTTCTCTGGGTTTGTTATAAAAGAGAAAAAATAATAGTTTCAGACTTAGTAAGATTTCCTGGTGGATAAATGCTAAACCAATGCTGGCTATTAAAATTATTATCATTACGGAAGATGGAATCTATTTTGCAGCCAAAGTCTGCACACTATTCCATCTGTGCTGTATGCTGTGTGTCTGGTTCTCAGATTGTGGAGGGCAGGCATCACTGCTAAGTCTGTGTACATCAATTTTTCTTTTTTGAGGCAGGGTCTCTTTGTGTACCCCAGGCTGGCCTCGAACACATGATCTTTTTGCCTCAGCCTCCCAAGTGCTGAGATTACAGATGTGCACCACCACATCTGTTTTTTGAATCTGTGTGTACTGAAATAACACAGCTGCAGAAACTCCTCCTGACTCATGGATTGGTCTGTGTGGGTAGCTACAGCTTTTGTAATATTCTTTCCTCTCTGGTGGACTCTATAACTTCTCTAGCTCCACATGGTGTTTTACTCCTATATGGTTTTTAACTCCTGAGCATTTAGTGAAAATTTCCTCAGTTCAAGAAGAAAAAGAAAATGGTAAAAATGATGTAAATATGAGTCACCTACAAGTAAGACATTTAAAAAAATCAATTGTTTCCAATTCAACAAAAATTTATTGAGTAACTGCATGGAACTTGAACCTGTACGGTTAAACAAATGCTGGTATTCAAGTTGTTTTATTTACAAGACAGCCTCATGACTAACCAAGTAACATCTTTAGCTTGATCTTCTGCTTTCAGCATTTGACTTAACTGTGGAAATCTTGACTATTTAACAATATCAAATTTGTTTTCAAAGGATAACCCCCCTACTTCTTGGGTTTTTTTTTTTTAAACAATGGCTCCAAAAAAGTCTCAAAGATGAAATGACTGCATGATCTGATTTTGAGTCTAGCTTCCAAAAGTATACTTCAGAATATACTATGTACTCAGAAGTGTACATTCTAGTTAATAGTTTAATTGCTGTTTCAGTTGTATAGCTATGACTATCAAGAATATGTCTTAATGTTAAGTATATATATTTAATATGTGTATGAAGTAAAAATGGTGTCTTAAATCTGACACTGTTATATAGATTTAAATCCAGTTTTCTTATGGTGCCCTTAAAGTGTATTCATTTTATCTAATTAGGTGTAATCTACTAAGTGGATCGTTTTAACTTAGTTATAATTACATAGCCAAATACCGATATTTAACCCTGATTATTCTGGAAAACAAGATTCTTCATAATTCCCATGGGAAACTAGATGAGTGAATAAGGGTGAATCGATACAAGCAGTTCAACACTTACAAATACAAGTCAGCCCTCAAGTCTGTCTGTCAATGGGTCTTCAGACCCACTTCCTACTTAAGAGGGTTAGTAGTCATTTCCTGTCGGGTAGACAGTACATGCAGGGGAAGATCACAATGAAGATGTTCAGCTCTTACCTCTTTGTGGTTCTTTTTGAGGTAAGTCAACTCCTCACTCAGGGTTTCATACTGAATCTCCAGGTCTGTTCTGCACAAGGTTATTTCATCCAAAACTCTGCGTAACCCATTGACATCAGCCTCCACACTCTGATGAAGAGCCAGCTCGTTTTCATACCTTAAAAAGCGTTAACGATTTTCCAACTTGTCACATGGTTAGAGACAGTCTTCAATCAATGACAAATGCTAGAACTCTAGAATTTTAAAGTGGCAAATTTGACCACAGAAACATCTTTAATTATTGTATAATTATTATTTTTTATTATGTATTTGACAGAAAAAGAAGTAGATGATTGGAGCTTTGTAGGAGTTCACTAAAACTGGCCCAAGTACAGAAAAGTAACAATAGTCTGTTTATTTTAAATCCAAAAGCTTTATAGTTTTGGAATGACAGTTGGCAATAGTTAATGGGAAGATTAAACAGATTCACATGTATCACTGACTTCCTTTCACTCTGTGTGTCTACTTACTTCAGTCTGAAATCATCAGCCGTCAGCCTGGCGTTATCAATCTGTAGAAGAGCATTAGCATTGCTGGTGGTAGAAGCGATGACCTAGAAAAGAGGAACTTTCACTTTTTAAAGACAATTTATCACAATGAGTAAAATCCCCAAAGCTTTTATTTAGATTAGGAAATGAAAATATTAAACATTAACATCGTTATTAGTCAAAGACATTTTTATCATGAGGTTCACCAAATTGAATCAACTTTGTGCTGATTTCCAAAGCTAAATTGAAATACCCTGGGGGGAAAAATCACAAAAGGAATAATACATGGCTTTAGAATTCAGTGAAATGAAACTTAGATATTAAAGTACATACATGTGGTGGCAAAATATAATGTCTTACCTGATTTTTGAGATCATCGATTATTGGGAAATATCTACTGTAGTCGTGGTCAAGGCCCCTGCAAGAGCCAGGTCCGAACTTCTCATACCAGCCCTTGATCTTCTGCTCCAGGTCAGCGTTGGCTTCCTGGAGAGCTTGCACGTTGTCCAGGTAGGACGCCAAACGGTCGTTGAGGTTCTGCATGGTCACCTTCTCATTGCCTGACAGGAGGCCCCCCTCATTCATGGTGAAGCCAGCACAGGGGTTGCCTGCTCCTGCATTTCCTCCCAAGGAGCTACCACCAAAGGCGCAGGAGAAGCCACTTCCAATGCCTGGTGTGCCACAAGCATTTCCAGCCCCAAAGCTGGCTCCCCCACCAGATAGCCTGAGCGATCCTGTGCTGGGGCGGGGATAGGACCTCCTGGGTCCACTGGAAAGTCGGAGAGACATGATCTCAGGGCAAGCGTGTCACAGAACTCTATGTGTAAAAGCCAGGATGGAGTGCCTTCTCACCCCAACCGTTTTGTTTGCCTTTTTATAGATAATTCTCAAGGGTGTTCTGCATGCAATTCTGCCTACATAGAGTAAAACATGGCTTGCCAGCCTCAGCAAGTTAGCATAATTGCATGATTTTTCCTAATTAGTAAGTAGCTTTGTTGGGCTCATTTCTGTAGGAGGGCAATTGCCCTCAGGTTGGCAGTTATCTGAGAAATGGGTCTAGGTGGAGCAATGTCAGGTTCATTATTTCATTTTAAAATTGCCAGTGAGTCATTCTTCATTTCCACCCTATGAAGGTAAAGTTCCCTGGTCCATAGGCATCATGGTTTGGGGCTATTATGCCAAGGTAGATTCTCCAAAAAGTTTCTGAGACTTTCTGCTTTTAGTCTCACAATTTTTTCAATATCAGTTGAGAGTAAACTGTAATAATGACTTTCCCAACCTGATCCTTCAATGGCTAGGTTTTAGGTTGCTTGTTTTGAGTTCCTTTTGACACTGTTTCTGACAGGAAGTTAACTTGCATTTTGGCTGACATGTACAACTTATTTTGTTGACACTTATGATGAGGGTAGTTGTGCTCTGTTATCCATTTTGGTAATTAGGAACACACCCCTAATTGCTGTTATGTTTTGTTGGAGTTTGGGAAGACATTAACTTATTTCCTGACCCTGCAAAGTTTGAAGCAAACCCGAAAGGCAGTATTTCATCTGTCTTTATTTCATGTGGTTTATTTAGCTTAGGTGAAAGTCAAAAGTAATGCTTCACTGGGTGTGGATGCACATATATTCATTGAAAATCCTAAATATTATGAAAAAAATTAAATGACAAAATTGTATATGTTTATAGTGTAGGGCACGATGATTTGATATGTATCCATAGAGGAATGGCTAAGTGAAGATAATCAACATATCTGTTACCTCACCTAGTTTTGTAGTGAGAACATTTAAAATCTACTCTTAGCAATTTGCAAGTATAAAATACATTACTATGAACCATGGTCACTTAATTGTACGGCAGACCTCCTGAACTTACTTCTCCTACTCACTGACATCTCGTGTACTCTGACCAGCCACTCCTCGAAGCATTTCTTTGATAATTTTTGGCATTTTTTTTCATATACTTGTTGGCCTTTTGTATGTCTTCTTTTGAGCACTGCCTTTTAAAGCAGGTTTTTGTTGTGTTATTGAGTTGTTTGAGTTCTTTACATATTTTGGATACTAAACCTTTATCAGATGTACCATCCACAATGTTTTTTTTTCCAATATGTGGGTTGTCTCTTTACTCTGTTAATTGTTTCCTGTGCTGTGAAAAAGCTTTTTAGTTTTATGCTATCCCATCTTTTTTTTTCTTTCTATTTTTGCTTTTCTTGTCTGTGTTTTTAGGGCCATAGGAAAGATGTGTTTGTCTAGACCAATATTAAGAAGATTTCTCCAATGTTTTCTTCTAGTAGTTTTATAGTTTCAGGTTTTTGTTTGAGTGTTTAATGGATTTTGAGTAGATTTTTGTATATGGGATGTGAGATGGGTTCAATTCTGTTCTTCTGCATGTGGAAATCCAAGTTTTGCAACATTATTTTTTGAAGACATTGCCCTTTTTCATTGTGTGTGTTTGGCAGCTTTTTACTTTTCTTTATTCATTTATTCACATGTGCATACATTTTTTGGACCATTACTTTCCCCTGTCCCCCACACCCTCCCTCTACCCTGACACCCCCTCACTTCCAGGCAAAAACTGTTCTGCCATTTTATCCAATTTTGTTGAAGAGAAGACATAAGCAATAACAAGAAAGACAAAGCGTTTTTGCTAGCTGAGGTAAAGATAGCTATACAGAGATATTCCTAGCATTGCTTGCATGTACAAATGTGTTACAACCCAAGTTGGTTCATCTCTACCTGACCTTTTCACTAGTTCCCAGTCACCTTCCCATATTGACCTCTGTCGCTTTAAGGTTTCTGTATTAGTTCCTCCGCCGTGGGGACATCAAACAATTTTCAAGTATTGGGTTTCCTACCTATCCCCATCCCTCCTGTATGTGCTCTCCCCTTAGTGTGTGACTCAAGACCAACAACATTGCTGCATTTGCCCTAGATCTAAAGTCTACATATGAGGAAGAACATATAATTTTTGGTCTTCTGAGCCCGGCTAACATTGCTCAGAATGATGTTCTCCAGTTCCATCTATTTACTTGAGAATGGTAAGATTTCATTCTTCTTCATGGCTGAGTAAAATTCCACTGTGTGTAAATACCACATTTTCTTGATCCATTCATCAGTGGCGGGGCATCTTAGCTGTTTCCATGACTTGGCTATTTTGAATAGTGCTGAAATAAACATGGGTGTGCAGGTGCCTCTGGAGTAACCTGAGTTGCATTCCTTTGGGTATATCCCCAGGAGTGGGATTGCTGGATCATATAGAAGATATACGTTTAGATTTTTTAAGAAACCTTCATATTTTTTCTGCAGAGTGGTTGCACTAGCTTGCCTTCCCATCAGCAGTGTACAAGGGTTCCTTCTTCTCCACACACTTGCCAACACCTGTTGTTGGTGGTGTTTTTGATGATAGCTATTCTAACAAGGGTGGTTTTGAATTGCATTTCCTTTATGGCTAGAGATGGTGAGCAGTTTTTCATGTGTTTTTTGGCCATTTGAATTTCTTCTATTGAGAAAGTTCTGTTTAGTTCAGTTGCCCATTTTCTTTATTGGTTCATTGATTTTGGGAGAGTTTAGTTTTTTAAATTCCCTGTATATTCTGGTTATCAGTCCTTTGTCTGATGTATACCTCGCAAATATTTTCTCTCACTATGTGGGTGATCTCTTCAGTTTAGAAACCATATCTTTTGTTGTGTAGAAGTTTTTTAATTTTATGAAGTCCCATTTGTCCATCCTTTCTCTTAGTTGCTGAGCTGCTGGGGTTCTTTTGAGGAAGTCCTTGCCTATACCTATTAATTCCAGAGTATTCCCTGCTCTTTCCTATACTAACTTCAGAGTTTCAGGTCTGATGTTCAGTTTTTTGCAGATGGATAACCACTTTTCCCAGCAAAATTTGTTGAAGAAGCTGTCTTTTCTCCATCGTATGTTTTTGACACCTTTGTCAAAAATAAGGTGGACATAGCTGTGTGGATTCATATCCGGGTCCTCTATTCTGTTCCACTGGTCTTCATGTTTGTTTTTGTGCAAGTACCATGTTGGTTTTATTGCTATTGCTTTGTAATATACTTTGAAGTTGGGTATTGTGATACCTCCAGCATTCTTTTTGCTGAGTATTGCCTTGGCTATTTGTGGTCTCTTGTGTTTCCAAATGAACTTTAGGGTAGATTTTTCAATTTCTGTGATGAAAGTCATTGGAATTTTGACAGGAATTGCATTAAACATGTAGATTGCTTTTGGTAGTACAGCCATTTTTACTATGTTGATTCTACCAATCTATGAGCACAGGAGATCTTTCCATCTTCTATAGTCTTCCTTGATCACTTTCTTCAGGGGTTTGTAGTTCTTCTTTTAGAGGTCATTCACATTCTTTATTAAATTTACTCCTAGGTATTTGATTTTTTTTTGAGGTTATTTGTAAAGGGAATTGTTTCCGTATATTCTTTCTCAATTTGTTCATTATTGGTGTATAGAAAAGCTAATGATTTTTATAAGTTGATTTTGTATACTGCCACCTTTCTGTAGCTGTTTATGGTGTCTAGGAGTTTCTGGGTAGAGTTTTTTGGGTCTTTAAGATATAGGATCATGTCATCTGCAATATTTCTTCTTCTTGCCTAATTGCTCTGGCAAGGAATTCCAGGACTATGTTGAATAGGAGTGGGGATAGTGGGCACCCTTGTCTTGCTCCTGATTTAAGAAGAAATGGCTTCAGTTTTTCTCCATTAGGTATGATGTTGGCTATAGGTTTGTCACATATAGCCTTTACAATGTTGAGGTACATTCCTTCTATTCCTAGTTTTCTTAGAGCTTTTATCATGAAGTGGTGTTGGATCTTGTCACAGCCTCTTATGACATCTATGGAGATGATCAAGTGGTTTTTTGTCTTTGCTTCTATTAATGTGCTGTATTACATTTATAGATTTGTGTATGTTGAACCACCCCTGCATCCCTGGGGTGAAGCCAACTTGGTCATGGTGAATGATCTTTCTGATGTGTTGTTGGATTTGGTTTGCCATTATTCTGTTGAGGATTTTTGCATTGATGTTCATTAAGGAGATTGGCCTATAGTTCTCCTTTTGGAGGTGTCTTTGTCTGGTTTTGGGATGAATGTAATACTGGCTTCATAAAATGAGTTAGGCAGTGTTCCCTCTCTTTCTATTTGTGGAACAGTTTAAGGAGGGTTAGTATCAGTTCTTCTTTAAAGGTCTGATAGAATTCAGCAGAGAATCCATCAGGTCCTGGACTTTTCTTTTTGGGGAGACTCTTGATTGCTCCTTCAATTTCATTTTGTGTTATAGATCTATTCAGGTGATTAATATCCTCTTGGTTGCATTCAACATCTATTCAGGTGATTAATATCCTCTTGGTTCAATTTTGGATGGTCCTAAGTATCTAGAAATTTGTTCATTTCCTCAAGATTTTCAAATTTATAAGTTCTCAAAGTAGTCTCTGATGATTTTATGGATTTCTGGGGTGTTTGTTGTTGTCTCCCCTTTTGCATTTCTGATTTTACTGACTTGGGTTTTTTTCTCTCCTCATTTTAGTCAGGTTTGCCAGGGGTCTATCAATCTTGTTTATTTTTTCATAGAACCGACTTTTTGTTTCATTGATTCTTTGTATGTTTTTTTCTTTGTTTCTATTTCATTAATTAATTAATTTAATTAATTTTAGTTAATTTTGGCTCTTATGTTTTAGTATTTCTCCCCTTCTGCTTGTTTTGGAATTTGCTTGTTCTTGTTTTTCTAGGAGTTTGAGATGGAGCATTAGGTCATTGATTTGATCTCTTTCTGTCCTTTTAATATATGCACATATGGCTATAAACTTTCCTCTCAGTATTGCCTTTGCTGTGTCCCATAGTTTTTGGTAA